CTGCTTTTATGCCAATACCCAGCCCACATATGATAGTGGGGACTCATTGTCAAGCATAACAGGATCCGTTTGATGTGGCAGAGTTTCCTACTGATAGGTGTGAAGTGCGTCACAAACCACAAGGCCCTTTTTACCTTCCATTATGCTGCTCAGGCCATGACTTCACTGCTTTGGGCATGAGGCGTGTTTCCTTCTATGTGAACTGCAGCACTCTTGTGGCTGATCATGCTCAGGCAGTGGTTGCTGTTGCTCTGACTAAGTCTTGCCTGCCTTGGGCCTGAAAACAGTTGCTTCCTGTTTGCCGTGTCACTCTAGAGTTTGCTATTACAATACATGGGAGGCAGAGGGCCAGCAGTGGCTTCCTTTAGTTGTCCCAGACTCTTAACTCTGGCTCTGCTCCTCTCACCTACCAGTTGGGAGCTGTCAAGTCACTCGTGACAAAAGTGCCTCTCCAAGGGTGAACTACACAGGATACGTGAGACCAGTCTAGCCTGCCATGGGGCAAAGGTTTGTTTGTTTTTTTTAGAAAATGTTCCAGACCCTGCTTTCGTAAGCAAAGAGATGTCAGCAAGATAATTCTGTGCCAGTGCTTACCTCCACTGAAAGACCTATTTGACAAGTTATAGCCCTTCTGCCTTGCATGTGCAGGAATCTGGAGCCACAGGCTCAATCCTGTTTCCCACCTGAAGTAAAATATGGGGCCAAATTAAAGAAGGCAGCTTGTGGAATTAAAAAAACAACAACCCAGTAGTGAGCATGGGAGATCAGTTGTGGTAGCATGGATTTTAAAAAGCAAAGCAAAGTGTTTTACTTATATACCACCCCATAGTGCATCCAAAGCGGAGTGAAACAGGGTTGTGTCCTCGCACCAACACTTTTTGGGATCTTTTTTGCTCTCTGCACCCCGACCCCACCCCCAGTTGAATCGGGTCCTTAATTTACTGACCTTGAAGGATGGGAGGCTGAGTCAACCTCAAGCCAACTACTTGAGCCCCAGGATTGAATTCAGGATGGGAGCAGAGTCTTGGCTGCAGTGCTGCAATTTAACCACTGCGCCATGAGGCTACTAACTTACCTCCCATTCCAGGGTTGCAGTTTTGATGGGGCGCCCATGTTGGCAATTTACCTTTTAAAAGCTATTCACTCAATTTTGACATGACTGGTTTGATCCTGGTTTTCATGGGTACAGAAACACTTCAGACTGCAGGTCAGTAATGCTCCTTTTTAATGGCTCTGTTAAACAACTCTATGCAAAGAAAAGCAAAGTCATGTGCGTAAGATCATTAAAAAGAGGTTCCAGCTCAGTCTCTTCTGGTCTACGGGTTCTAGTTCAGCCTGCTCACTTTCTGCTTCGAGAGAGGGAGAGACGGATGGAACACAAAGATTGTTAAATGTATGGTGGTGGTGTGCATGTCAGCCCACAATTTAAAATAATGCAGCCAGTACTACCGTCATGTCTCCTTACCTTTCTTTTCCAGTTAATGAAAGGGGATGCATTTTGAGAGTGAAATTCCTTCAGATGTAGCACCCTTTGCATCAACCCCACATGGGCATTTGGAGAGAGGCGTGACTAGAATGAAACTTCTGTGGTCCAATTCTTGTTGATTCTCATGTTACCTCATTTCATTTTGCCACATCAAAAGATGCCACATCAGAAAGTTAGCTAGTAGTCTTCAATCTGAGTGGTAATTTCTCCCCTCAAATGATTCCACAGTCTAGTAAATGGTTATTCTTAGATCGATTTTAATAGAGCTTACTGCATGCCTATCAAATCTTGTTTGTTTGTTTGTTTGTTTTATGACATAACTATAGTGTCCCTTTAAGTGAAAATCCATTACTCTGGGCAGCCATACAAACATAAAACACCCCCTCACTACCAACCCCCACCCTTCAGGAACCAATACAGAAAAAACAAACAAACACATAAGAAAAAGTCAAACGAATGTCCAATGTTCCCTCTAATTTTCTGGGCCACTGGGCGGAGGCCCTGCCCCATGTGCCCCGTGGGGTTCCATCTGCAACCAGAAGCAAATGAGTGGCAAAACTGACTTGGTTGTGTGTGCCTGATGCAGCCTGGAGGGAATGTTGCTAAAGACTAAATGAGGGCAACTAAGATTTAAAACACACACACACACACACACACACACACACACACACACACACACACACACACACACACACACACAAAGTCTGGAGGGAGGAGGCCCGGGGCCACCAGCAAGAAGGCCTGATTGAAGTATGTCCTTGACGGCTTCTTTAAACAATTGGGTTTTTGCTCACTTCTTAAAAGTCTGGAGGGAGGAGGCTTGCCGAATCTCCAATGAGATAATGTTTCAAGATGCCCGGGGCCACCAGCAAGAAGGCCTGATTCCTAGTGGAAACCCTCCTCACTTCTCTCAGAGTGGCCACCTGTAACAAGACTTGGCAGGACCAGGTGGAATGAGCAGCAGTTCTTTGGGAAAGACACTCCGCTGTGTATTGAAGTCCCAAACCGTAAGTAAGTGGTAAGAACGTCTAGGCCAAAAGGCTTATACATTGAAGAATAGATGGCTTTATTAATGCATAATGAACCTACATTAGAGGAAAAAAAATTGAGTTTGGTCCAAAAGCTAGACTGTAGCCATCCATTGTTCTTTGATATTTTCTCTAGAACAATGTATATTTTGTAAACAAAGAAGGCATTTCTTTGTCACTAATCCACACCATCTCAGCCAAATAGGCTGGCAATAAGAAAGAAATACCTTTGCAGGTTTGTGCCTTATTTAAAATGGAGGGAGAATTCTGCAATGATAGATTGAGTTGTCCTGACTGAGGACCCCATCCGCCAAAAGAGCAAATAAGTGCTTTCTATCTCGTGAGCTGAAGCACAGCAAAATGAATGCTTTGACCACAGACTGGCCTAACTCTGCTGCCTTTCAAAGAAATGCATTTCCTGGAAGAACCTAAAGGCTGACTGCTACACACAGGAAGACTCAGAGCCCACCGCGGCTATGTGTCAGCAGTTGCCTATTCATAATTAGGATAACCAGAAGTGTAATTCAGGTCAGGCAGGCCCACTCCTCCTTCTGTTCACAGGACTCACCAGGTACATGCTTGAGCAGCGCCACTAAGTTTCCTACCCACAAACAAATTTCCTTTTAAGCAGACCTTCAATATTTTGGGGCTTGTGGGCGCATGCAGTTTGGAGAAAGAGTCAAAGCTACTGTCATAGCAGGGCTGCAATGCTGCATGTGGCCAGCCACAAAATACCTATTTCACAAAACGTTCCCTGCTTTTGCTTTACCAGCAAGTCGCCTGCACAGTTGTCATTGACTTTTTCACTGCTCTCTGCAGCCCTCCTTTCCCCACGTTCTCCTTTTTTCATCTGGCCACAGTTGCCATGCTGCCCTCAATCTCTCAGGCTCCTCCTTTATCCATTTGGTCTGACCTCAGCCCCAGTTTCTCTGCTTCACCCTCCAAATGCTTTCTTCTCATGTCCCCCTAGAGCTCCTTGTTAGCCTGCTGCCATCATCAAGTCTCTCCCCTGATGAGGCAGTGGCAGTAGGGTCCATTCCCTCCCTAACAGACAAATATAATGGAGAATCAAAGCAAAAGCAACCACAGATCATTTTCTGGATGCAGACAAAGAAACAGGACAGCAGAATGTCCCACTTCTCCTCCATTCTACTCTGCAGTGAGCAGATAACTTTTGCTCCACCACCTTCCAGGCAGATGCAGTCCTGTAGCATCGGGAATACTCACATTCTGAGCAACCTCTAGCTTGTCAACAACCTCTTGTAGCCCCTTTCAATCCTTTAACTATTAAACCCAGTTTAGAATATCCATAAGGGACGTGGTGGTGCTGTGGGTTAAACCGCAGAAGCCTCTGTGCTGTAAGGTCTGTAGATCTTCAGCTGTAAGATCAAATCCACGTGTCAGAGTGCCTGTTGCTTGTCCCAGCTCCCACCAACCTAGCGGTTCGAAAGCATGCAAATGCAAGTAGATAAATAGGGACCACCTCGGTGGGAAGGTGTCTAAGTCGCACTGGCCATGTGACCACGGAAGATTGTATTTGGACAAAAACTGCCTCTATGGCTTGGAAACAGGGATAAGCACCACCCCCTGGAGTCAAACATGGCTGGACAAAAAAATTGTCATGGGGAACCTTTACCTTTACCTAGAATATCCATAATGTATAGGAACTAATCCAATACAAGGTTTTATAGTGATTTAATCTAATCAGATGTTCTAGATAGACCATAGTTAGACCTGAAAGTATGTTGATGTTAAAGAGAGGCAGTATTTTAGGTTGGCAAAATCAAATTTCAAAGAATTTGAGCACATGAAACCAGGAGACCAAATCAAAGCAAACTATTCTGCAAACAAAGGGAAGTGAGAGAAGCTCTTGCCAGTTGGTATGGATTTCACTCTTCTAACCATGGGCTATTTCTAATGTCAGTTTCTGCCCCACAACAGTTCATTGTGCATTACATTCATAATGCTAATTTGGAACTGCTCAGGTATGGCTGTGGATCCACGGTGACCAGTACGGGGCCAAGGCTTTGTAAGACCTGTGTGCTCACCAAGGGTGGTGAGCAGCACTAAGTTGCCACTTCAGACCTCAAGGATGGGCCTCGAGGGAAAGGGAGATACCATGAGCGATTGATAGAATGCTGGCAAGGTAGGATGGCTTGTTAGTAGCCGACACTAACATAAAACTTTTCTCTAGACTCTAAGAGTCTAGGAGCAGCACTTTTAGTCCATAACAGTTCTGGGGTTAACCACCCTATTGGGCCAAGGAAGAGGGCTGAACAATCACAATTTAAAATCCTTCTCTCTGCCAACATGACTTATCTGTTTGTTTGTTTATTTGTTTGTTTCTTAACTAACTCTCTGTCACTCAACTGTCCAAATTATTGGTGCTTCTCAAAGGAGCAGAGGGATAATAATTATTCCCAGTACTGTAATCAACATTTCAAAAAGGCTAACCAATAAATTACAGCAAAGATACTTTAAAAAAATTGAGAACAAAATCGAATGATTTATCTTTCTATAACTGGAAGAGAGTCACACATCATGTCAGGAAGCTGAAGGCCACACAGCACAAACAAGCTTTCTGTGGAATAGAAACAGATTTGCTGGAGAGCCCCTTCACAGGAAACTACCAGAATCTCATTCTCTCCCTTCACACCTCAGCTGCTGGACAGCCAAGGATGCTTCTCCATAGATGCGCTCACATTTGGTTGTTATGTCTGCATAACCAAAAGGCTTCTTGTGCCTCCCTGCTTTGCCCACAGCTTCAGGTTTCTTGGATTCCTCCACACAGTGAGTCCAATGTTGTGAGAGATGTTGTGGTCCTATTGCAATCCGGCAGATAAACAATTGCCGTTTGTTTAAATACCTCTTGAGAGTACTTTCAGGCATGTTTGGACGATCTCAGGTTCAAGAATGAAGTTACAGATGTCTACTGTAGGAGCAGCATTTGTAGTCCATAACAGTCCAAGCTCAGCTGAGCCACATAATGCTTGTGGAGCTCAGGGTGCCCACAGGGCCTGTATGATGGCTGCTGCTTTTTCTAAAGCATGAATAATCCAAAGAAGGTTTTTGACTCCTCAAAATTTACCAGTGTGACATCGGAGACACTCACGTACAAGCTGTCTTGCCTGGACAGGTTGAACGAGGCACCCAGATAGCTACTTTTACCCCACATATGCACTGAACTGCAGTAGTTCATCTTTTTGTCCTCCATCAGCACCTGGATGTCAGGATAAGCTGGATTCCTTTTAAAAACAAAATGGTTCAGAGGTTGGTTGGTACAGGCCAGGCCTCGGAAGAATACTTTGGAGTAGACAAAGTAAAGACCAGCTTCCTCAATCACTAGACACCTGTTTTTATAGTGGACACCGGAGATGAAGGCATGACCGTAGGTACTTTCCCACTCCAGTGGAAGTGACTGCTGGTTTCCTTTGCCTGGAATTATGAAGAAGGGGAGGAAAGAAAGTAAAACAGAAGATGTAAAGATGTAAACTCCACAGCCTTTGTTATGTCTAAACTTGTAAGAAATTGAGTCAGGGACCACATGCTGGCTCTTGGTTTGCAGCGTGGATATTAAAAGCATATTGATTGAGCATCAGGGCCCTGAAAGACAGGTGCTCTTTCAAGACAAGAAGAATAGCTGATCATTGCGGTAGGCAGGATTTTTTCTAAATTATTCTTCCATCTGCTGGCATGCCAGACTCCGACAGTCACCCTGCCTGTCCCTCTCTTCCCTGAACATTGACCTGATCTAGCTAAATCTGGCCAACTGCAGATGTCTTCAAGCGGCTGCAAGACCTAGTCCAAACAAACCTCACTTTTTGGTGAATTCATCTCCTGGTGTCTGCTGTCAACATGTGGCCTGGATTTCAGAGCAGTCACTCTCGCTTCCACCAGCCTTCTTTTCAGATTATGACCACCAACATTATGAATCCTTAAGGATTAGTCCTAAGTTTCAGACAAGGCTTAGATCCCCCTGTGTTCAATCAGCGTAATTCACATGACCTCAGTATGTGATCCGAACAAGGAGGATCCCCAGTTCTCACAACTTTACATTTATCACAACATTCAGGTGAGCTATGAAATCTCCATGACATCTGCAGAGACTCTTCAGCAGGCCGTGGAGTCTGAGGCACAGAGGTGCTGTATGAAAGCATTCTTAGACTGCCCATCTTTCTTCGGCTGCATGGATGAATGTGAAGGCAGAGGGGATGGTCCTGGCACTATGGCTTAGCTCTGTGACAGATTTCCTCTTATCTTTCAGGCAATTCATTCTATATTTCTGGTTGGCCACAAGGCAGTACACAAAAGGAGAGAGCCATTCAAACTTGTACTTTAAGAAGTCACATTCAGTTAGTTGTTGTGGGTCACATTCATTTCCTAATAGATGCTCTTTGAATTTAGAATACAAGCAGTGATTCTTCAGATGCAAAAAAGTGAGAAAAGGAAGGGGAGGAGCATGAACAACTTATTCAACCCCTTCCTTCTTCCTACTCTAAGATCAGAAATGGGACACAAATCCGCAAACCCCAGATGGTTTCTGCTGTTTCTTCAGAGTTCAGTGATCTTACTTTTCCTAACAGTCATGCAGAAGTAACCACGATGATGACTGAAAGCAGGTTTAGATTTATGAATGCAGAGGAAAATGATGGTCTATGGCTATCAAATCTGGATCCTTCTTAACTGGGAGATTGCTGCTTTCATCGTTCCAGTATGTTGATGGTCTGAGAGCTCGTATTTGGTGAAGACCTCACAGATCTTTCCCCAGCTGTTTTTTAACCAGTTAGAATCCTCATGTGTACAGCTCCCCAACTGGGATACAAATTGGGAGAAGGATGTACAAGGAAGAGGTGGCAGATGCTGGAAGAACCAGCCCCACTTACCGGTTCCCTATCCCAAAGCATATCCCCAACTCACCACCAGTGGCAACTGCAGAACATCTAATTCATTCCTGAAAAATCTTTTAGGTAGCTACTAGAACATCAATCCAGCTATCCTCTTAGTCTGTGGAATGACCTGTTGTGCTTTTTGCTGCCCACCTGTTAAGTGTGCTCTCCTCTTGACTTTCTTTTCTGTGGTTCCATTCAGAAATCCTGCATTATAATAGAGAGGGGAAATATAATATAAGAAAGTACTGTATTGTTCTCCTAGGTGATACAGGACCAGTAGTGGGATGACAGGAAACTGAAAACTTTGACAGATGGTCCTATTTTCTGTAAACATATGCTTCCAAGGTCCAGCCTTTTAATGTCTATCACATCTCACACTGCCATGAAGTGCCACTGAGCTGGACTACATATTCTAATGAAAACAGTAATAGTGCTGAAGTACAATGACAAATTTAATTTCCCTCTGACCTTACTGTCCTCAATCACATCCTGTCTATCTCATCAAGTTGGTCAGATGTGGGCAAGATCTGAGGACTTGGGGGATAATTTCAAAGTGGGCCAGCTCAGGCCCTCAAATGATTGAAAACAGAATTTCTGAAAAGGAAAAGCAAAGTTCTAGAATTGGCACTTCTGGTTTTTTTGGGGGGGGGGAGCGGAGGGCTGTAGGACCTCACCCCAAGACCCAGGAGCAGGAAACCACTGAGAGCTTCATTTTTGATATGCACAGAGATATACTTTTTAAAAATACTGCGCGAGAGTTCTAGGAAAGCCCAGAGGGCACAAAAATGCCCCCAAGGGAAGGCACATGCAGCCTGCAGGCCATATTTTGCTCACCCTTGAAGTAGATGATAATCCATGAAAGTTAATGCTGTGATAATGGGTTCTTTGTTGGGTTTTTTGGGGGTGGTTAAAAAAAAAGAAGTGGTGAATATCTACACTCTGGTGGCTCTTCATCAATATACTGCTTCCCCACAGCCTTTCATGACTGAGCTGAGACAGCATTCCTCCATCTTTGGAACTTGTCTTCAGAACTTCCTTTATCTCCAACACAGCGCTCTGTTTTGCCGGAGACTATGTAGATATTCTCACACACACTCACAGCACTAAAACTATGTATGACAAGGATTTGACATGGTGGTCACTTCTAGCTGCAATTCATAACCTTCTGCACAAATAACCTGACAATAAAGCAGCTGCCCCACTCCCAAATCATCTTGAGGTGATGGCACATCTATAATTCACAGCAGATCACAGAGGGTACTGTTGCAGCTGCCATTCAAACCACCCACTGGGAAGATAGTGTCATTCAAAACCACGCAGTGGAAAGACCTCATCTCCCTGTAACTGAATACTTTTCTGTTTTAAAATTATATATTCTAAAATGTAAAAACATAATTATTTCTGTATTTTTCATATCACGGTGTGCCAGGCAAAAAGAGAAACAACAAATTTGCATTTAAGATGAAGACCAACAGCCTAAATCCATTTGCTAATCCCACTTAAAAAGTTGAATCAGCTGCCGAATAGTAAATCAACACATACATTCCATTGATTCCATGTGTCTACTTAAGATGGGTTTAGCAACTGCACTTAGACAAATATGCTGTCCCATCATCCTGCAGACCTGCTTGCCCCACATAATATTATGTAGTAGATAAAGTGGGCTTTCCCAGAAATCCCCATATTTTTCCAAAGCAGTGCAAGCACTGGGGATATAGAAAAAAGAGAAGGGAGAGAAGTTAATCTGCAAGCATTCAGCTGACAGGTGAACTTCAGATTTCACTCACATAAGGATTTGTGACCAGATATTGAAAGTTGCCCAAGCTTCCTTTGGTCAGATGTAAGAGCTACAGGCTCCAGAAATGTACACTTAGTATTCAAGGCAAAATTCAGATGAAGGTTGTATGAAGAACAAATTCAGGCAGGTGCCGTATGAGTTGGACTGCTTTGACGTGTGCCCTGCTGAGCTCTGAACAAGGAGTTCTTACCTTTCAGCATCTCAGGGGATTGAAGAGCAGGTCCCGAGCTGGAAATCTGTCAAGACAAGATGTAGACATGTATACTATTGACACTTAAAAATGAAACACCACAAAACACCATGCTCCAGTATTATTCTTGGGAAGAGCTAGTCCAAGCAGCCTTCAGTGGCACTGGATACCCTTCCCTTCCCAGGTTAGGATGTGTCCCAAGCATTTCTAGGTCTATGTAGATGGACTCTGTTACCTCTTTCAGTGCATTTAGTTCCTGCTGCAGATGGAAGATCTGAAACATGGCTAACCCAACTCCAGTGAGGGCCAGGAAAGTCAGTAAGAAAACCATCAGGAAGCAAAGGCACGCACCATCTCGAGTGTTCTGCCTAAATCGTTTCCTTACTGGTACAGCCAAAGGGGGGCAAATGTCCTGAGGAGACACAATCCCATTGGGGGACAATCCTGATAGAGCATAGTCAGAGCTACAAAGTCCACTGCTGTTTGTCCAGAAGACCTGGGGATAAGTACAATGCTGGTTCTGCTGCATGTCAGGACCGCGTCTCTGGATTCTTTGCTCACTGCTGCTGGGCCAAGCTTAGACTCGGCATCAGAGAAATGCTTTCTTCCTGTGCTGCATCCCCACACAACACCTGCACCCGCTACTGAAAGCTCTTTTGGCTTGACTGCAGAAAACCTCAGAGCTTCCACCCACTGCTCTGGTGCAAGATGACTTAGTCCTGCCTGCACAAAGCAAGGAGGGTGAACAACCTCTCACAGGAGTCCCACAGGCTGTCTGATTTCAGAAATAATTTTGTAAAGCAATAAACATACTAGGTGACATGGTAAGAGTGTGGGGTTTTTTTTGTTTTGATTCTGATTTATTAAATTTTTGTTCAAACTATTTCTCCTGTCTGTCAAAATAAACTTTGGATTTATGGTCTCCACTTTAAAAACTTTAACAACTGCTCAAAATTCCATGTTGTTTGCATTTCCCATCCAGCGTAGTCCTTTGACCATCTTGCTTCTCTCTCTTGGTGCGGTGCTTACTTTTCTCCCCCCTTGTTTCTGCCTCCCTCCTCTTGTACAGATACTACCTATTTACCTGTTCTCCTTTATGTCTTTAACTTTTGAACACCTGTTTGTTTGTTTTTTAAAAAACTTTGACTATTATGGGGCTGTCAAGTCAATTCCATCCTATGGCAACCCTTTTGCAGAGAATTCTGGTCATAAAATACCAGTTCCTCCTTCTGGGAGTGCTCTGATATCATACAGTTTGTTATATCCAAATTTGGATGGAATTGCACCATTTCTCTTTCAATAGAAAAGGACTTTGGTGTGCAATTTCAGTGACAAGGTGTGCACAACAGCACAAAGTATAAAATCATATGCAAGTTCTCCACAGGAGAATGGCTTACACCAAGTAGGGCTTGGAAACCTCTGAATTTCAGATAGCAATCTGTTTTCATGAGAACCAAGCAGTCGTAAGATCGAATCCACGCGACGGAGTGAGCGCCCGTTGCTTGTCCCAGCTCCCGCCAAGCTAGCGGTTTGAAAGCATGCAAATACGAGTAGATAAATAGGTACCATCTCGGTGGGAAGGTAAACAGCGTTCCGTGTCTAAATCACACTGGCCATGTGACCACGGAAAGATTGTCTTCGGACAAACGCTGGCTCTATGGCTTGAAGAGCGGGATGAGCGCCGCCCCCTAGAGTCGGACACGACTGGACAAAAATTGTCAAGGGGAACCTTTACCTTTTATCCCTCCTATCAAGCAACTGACTCAAGAGAATGCCATTTATGGTGAGTAAGCTGCCCAAAGAGAGGGAAAGTATGAAGATTTGTGATTTGACTGCATGAACAGGGACTAATTTACTTCTATTCAGCTTCAGCAAGTACAAATTAAATTTAAGAGGCTGATTTCAAAGGAGAAAGGCTAATCTTAAAGCGGCATGGAACTTTTGTAACCCTGAAATATTAGCGAATTGTTGCTGCGTCATGTCTGAGAGAAACAGAAAATGAAACTAGCGAAAGACATTGATGGAGATTTCCTCTTCTCAACCCGTTCTCTGATGGATGGAATAATTGTTTTAATATAAATTAGAGGCTTAAGAAGTTTGGATAACTTAACCTAAGTGACCTCACATTGAGCTGCGAGAGGTGGATTATAAATTAAACTGATCCTTATCACGGCTGGAATTATGATTGGAGTTGTTTGGCAGGAGTCAGAGTTTGGGCTGACTTAACAAATTGTGAGGTGAACTGAGCAATTGGATTTATGATTTTATAGCTCTTCACTGGGGGAAGGAATAAGTAAAAGCAGATCTGGTGGGCCCCAGAGAAAAATAGAAGAAACTTTTTTCTCTGGATCAGAAAGCATTTTGAACTACACTTAGGTAACAGAGAGCATGAATCACCATCAAATCTACAATGGAAGACTCCTTCAAGAAATATGTACAGGAATTTCAATTGAACGTTATTAACCAAACTAAGGCCCAGATCTCAGAAGTTAAGGCGATAATTACAGGATGGAATGCGAAGGGGAAGAATGAGAAGATGGAAGACCAGCCCATCAAAGCAGTGGCATTATCAGAGAGAGAGAGAGAGAGAGAGAGAGAGAGAGAGAGAGAGAGAGAGACTGTAGTCCTTAGAAAGTAGGTTAAAACCCTGAAAATGGAGGGTAAAATAATGAATCTGTATGAGAGTGAGGGACAGGTGGATGAGTGGGGGAAGCACACTAAGGAAAAGGTTAGTCAGAAAATTTATACTAGTTTGATGGGAGAAAACTCAAAGGAGGAATATGAGAGGGCGATGCTGGATGGGGTACAAAACTCTGACTATAATTTAGACATATATGTATGGCTCCGAAGGCAGAATCTTAATTATATTAGGATAAAATCAATAAACCAAAATGGTCTAAAAAGATTTTATAGATGGCATTTCAAAACTGGTAAAAAGGAGGCAAGAGATTAATTTCAGATTTATAATATTGTAAGCAATTTGGAATTCCCGGTTTATACGTGGAACTGATAAATATAATAAAAAACTGGAAAGTTACTTGCTAAACATAATAGAAATCATTGATTGAAAGGCACATATGAATGTGGTTAATATGTTAGCAAATTTGGTTATGCTTGGATTTGAATGGTTGATAAATACAATTAATTATGAAATTAGAAATGCATATGTTGAATATATTAGAAGTTATTGATTGTAAGCCAGTTACATAGAGATACTAAGCACATACAAATTATAATATGATTATGTAGTTAAGGTTAGACATATATATCCTTTTCTCTTTTAAAATGTTGATTTTTGATGATTGTAAAGCATTGATACTCTGACATATAACTGGATAGATAAGGAGGAAGGAGGAAGAATCTATAAATTTATTTTTTGCTTAATAATTATATCAAGATATACCGTTAGCAACTTTGGACTCTATATATATGGGCAATAGATAAGCATACATAACTCTTAAACTAGAATGTTTTATGTTAAATACAATGGTGGAGTTGTTTACTGGAAGATGAATGTAGCTTTGGGATTACACTATACGTAGATAATGTTTCTATGCTAATTATTAGAGTATATACTGAATTAAATGTTTGAAGCATTAAGATGAAATAGATAGTCACATATAAAATAGGTTAGAAGGGCAATAGGATTTATGTAGTCAGAATTACATAATTGATAAGACTATATGGAGAATACCTCCCCACATATATGTTTGTGTTTGTTTTGTATGTTTGTATGTGATATATAAATTATTTTTTTTAAAAAAAATCATTGTGTACTTCAGTGAAGGTGACAGAACAGAAAGAAGCCACACTGGGAAAGACTGCTCAACAGAAGAAGAAGATTGCATCCCAGCGGAGCTGCTAGTGTCCAGGTCCTTTTGCAGAGACGAAATGTGCAGGCCCCCACCCTCCCCAGCAAAGGGAAAAGAAGTGGCAGCCCATGCACAAGTGGAAGGAAGCAGAGAAAGCACAGGGAGATTTAGAGCCAGAAGACACTGAGAAGAGAAGAATGTGATACCAGATTTCAGATGCCCAACAGAGTCATGCAAGGTAGCATAGTGGCCAGATCACTACCCTACCTTTTAAGGATAGCAGCAGCACAAGAAACCTTCAATATTGGGAGGAAATGAGAAATTACCAAAGTAGAAATAACAGTGGAAAAGACTGCACAAGAAGATATAAAGTCTTGAGGTCTCAAAGAACTATAATTTGGCAAGAAACCTGTGAGGTGCAAGTTGGTCTTCAGAGTCACGCAAAATGCAGAAGGGTGATCCAGTGATACAAGGCCAGATGGGGTGTTAGAGTAAGTTCAGCAACACTGCATTTTAAGGAATTCATCTGTGGTTAAGTCTGAAGCATCACCTTCTGCAATCTATTTCTTCATGTTACATCAAGTGGGGTGAACGAGAAACACTTCTACATGGCCAACAGCAGTGGGATCCTGAACTAAAGCCGGCCTCAATATTAGCCAAATTAAGAAGTCACTTTAAGTGGCGGATTGTTTGGGGGATGGTGGAACTACCACTGCCCTCCACTCTCTGCTGCCTGAGCTGACTCTACCAGCCACACCTCTCTCGTCCTGTGCAACATTCAAGGAGGAGGATAGCAGTGGTGCCTCCAACACTCATTGCAGGAGAGGACTAGCAGGTGGGTGATTTTGCCCACTGATGCCCACCTAGATACTAGATACTTCAGCTATTGCTTGGCTGGGTCTGGGAATAAGGACTTGCCCTCAGGGCCAGGGCTTTAGGCGAAGAGATGGGCAAAAGAACCACCTGTGCATAAGAATGTCCTGGCCCTCAAGAACCAGGCATAATTGGCAGGGCTGGGGTATGCTGGAGCCTGCAGGCAAGTGGTAAAGGGCAAAGAGCAGCCTCTCCTCCTCCCCCATCTAGTGGTGAGTGTTGTTGGATCAGGACCTGGGCAAGGGGTAGTACTTTTCTTCTCACCTTAACCAGGAGGAGAGCTTATGCCAGTGCTGTCCTGACAAAGAAGCAAACCTGAAGTTAGAAGTTAGATTTTAAAGTTGTTTTTAGGCAGAGTTGAAAGACTTGTTTAAGATTCTTCCCCCACCCCCCCAACCTGATTTCCTTATTTTCGCAGTGCTAAGTTTGGGGAGTTCAATTCCCCACTGTGCCTTCTGGGAGAAGAGCCAACCTGTGAAGATCATCAGGAGAGGCCTTTCTCTCAGTCCTACCACCTTCAGAGGTGTGCATGATGGGTACATGGGAGAGGGCCTTCTCTGTTGCTGCTCCCAGACTTTGGTACTCCCTTCTACAGGAATCCAGGCTGGTTCCATCTTTGCTGTCCTTCCGTAAGCAGGTGAAGAACTTTATCTTCAGACACGCTTTTCCTTACTGACTGAGATAAGTTTTGTGTTCTGCTGCTTTTAAATGTGTTTCTAGTATTGATTTTATTTAATTTTTTAATATGATATTTGTTTAATTCTATTAAAATATTTGTATACTTGCTGTTTTTAGCTTTGTATAGTGTCTTTTTAATTATGTGAGCCATATTGGGTCCTTTCAAGGAAAAAGGTGGGGGAAAATATATGTATTCAATAAATACATAAAATAAGTTCATTACATGAAGCCCATGCTGGCAAGCCTGTACCACACATGCTCACTCTTATAACCAAATTCATACTATTCTCACCACGGCCAGTTCTTCCCTGTTAGTTAGGA